TATTTCCCTATCACTCGTTACCTGTGTACGACATATGTGTTACATCCACACGTAAGCCAATTACAACAGATCGGCACCATACTGACTTACAATTATCCCTCTTCGGTAATCACTGTCTATACGTGTGCCAGACACTGGCATCCCCGCTGGTCGACTGAGATAATTGGGTGCCGATTGGTCATCTTTCAGGGGAGATAATCTGCAGGACTTATCTATTGATAATTAATTACATGAGAATTAGCTAGGATATCATAATGTGAATTAAGCCTCAGAGACCTCGCACATGGCATGCTGTATCCTTCCCCTGATGTCGTTTTGCGGGCACAGATAATAGGACATCTCCCAGTCCACGTTATTTCAACCTCGCTGTATTTTTCTAACCTTGACTGTTATATTGACACTTGACCCGGACACATGCTTTTGGATAGGCACTGCCAAAAGGAAAGATAATCGATGGGAGAAAAAAAAGGAATTCGTGTCTCGAATATCCCTCCGTAGTGAGAAAAAATATCAAAACAAAACATAATGAAAAGACAGAATGAATCAACCTTATTTACTTACAACATTTGCGAAACATTTTTTTCCATTTTATACTAATCACTCTTGTTGACCGGGATGGAAGTGTGTCTTACGTTGGGAGGAAACCGGAGTACCCGGGGAAACCCCACATGGTTGGATAGTTGGCCCAATATCTTTTCACGATATAAGCAACTGCTCAGTCTATTCTTAACACTTCTCTTATGATCACTTAGTATCGATTGTGATCATGTAGTTCAGACGGTATGGAAAGCTGAGTCATGCCAACTGTATATGATAATTGGCCGTGCCCCTATTGCGATTATGTCGATGTAACATTTCTATTTCATAAATGATGATGTCTATTTTGATAAAGATATGTTTCAAACATCCTTCTTTGCATATCTATTATATTACAGCAAAATATCGAGAGGGTTCCGATGCCCTTAAAACGGAAACAAGACCAACTATACTGTACTGTAAACATTACTCCGATGAGATGAAAATTACTTTTTATCATGAATAAACTTATTACATCGGCAGCTGCATATTATAATGAACAAATCCACACGTCATTGTAAGTTCCATAATCCGGTTCCAACGAAACTTACTAAATACTACTGTTGTCCCGACACGTGTTATGGAAAACCTTGTGTTGACGCCGCGATAAAAATGTCTGTTTGTGAGATTTCCACAACCCGTGACAGGTTGTGAGATTTTGGGCATGCTTCACGGAGCATTCCATGGAGGGGTGCAATCTATGAAGTAGTCCTTTAATAGCAGGTATATTTTTTCCAATTTGAGACTTTCCAGCAATGTTAAGTATCGCCATTCTTTAATTATTGTATTTCAAGAACGATACTGAATGTTGTCGTCAACAGCAGTTTTTTTTTAAATTTTGTTTATCTTAACAAGATTTGACGCATTAATTTAATACAAAATGATCGGATATGTAAAAAAATATATAAAATGTCTACGTAGTGTCCATAAATTGTACCATGAATTTCTAAAGCTGACCACAAAAGTACAGTGTATAAACTTATAATGCTAGGTTTCAATTGTTCATACATTGTATCGTGAACATCTAACACTGAACTGCAAGTGTTCATTCATTTCATAGTGAACTTCTAACATTGAACTATAAGTGTTCATTCATTTCATAGTGAACTTCTAACACTGAACTACAATTGTTCATTCGTTGTGTTGTGAACTTCTAACGAACTACAAGTGTTCATACATTGCATTATGAACTTCTAACGCTGAGCTAAAAGCGTACATGCATTTTATCGTGAACTTCTAACGCTGAGCTAAAAGTGTACATGCATTTTATCGTGAACCTCTAACGCTCACTTATAAGTGTTCGTACATTGTATCACAAACTACAAACACTAACCCTCCGTCCGTAACAAAGTCGGAAAGTTATTAGTGAGGGTTGAAACAAAAATGCGCAGTGGGCATGCATTGATCGACATTATAATTATGCAACATTTTAAGTAATATATTGATCGTTTCTAGTTTCCTTGATGTACAACACAGATGTAAGCCTTTCCAAAACAAGGCATTCACGTTTGACGTATTAAACAACTATACTTGTGCAGAAGGGAGACGTTAATTGGAAGTTAGTTCAATAATTATGTCTGCCTCAAATTTTACACATTTGCTTTATAGCTGTATCTTTAACAGTTTTAATTATCCTGTAGGGTTATTTCCCGATTTTAAAGGCTTATATTACTGATTATTTTTGCTGAAATAGTTTAGGGAATACAACGCCGGCATGTCAGTTCTACAGTATGATGGCGCATTAAATTAAATATACGGTATATCGAGGTCCAGATTCATCCGTTTGAAAAGACAAGTATCTGTAAAGGAATTGGTTAGAACTTTGTTGTCAGCACATAAAATGTACAAGTACATGTATCATCTATCTATTTGTTCTTACAAATCATGTCACCGTACGAGAATACGAGTGAAAATGAGAGCATTATGTATGCCAATACATCACAGAATAGAGACGTAAAATAGAATTAGGACAAAGACAAAAATCTCAAATAGAGTTAGTGCTATATATCTCTCACAGGACAGACACAGATCTAGAAGTAACAGAGAATGTACATACATCTAGATTGAAAAAAAATCCCCCTCAAACCTGCAGGGAATACATTTGGATACCACGTGATGTACTGTCTGTCCATCGCTAGCTGATAGAAACACGGTTTAACTATGTACCGTACCATTGTTGTAATTGGATCAAGCTTATAATCAGAGCGTAGCTCTCGGGCTGCATAGTCGCCCGAGCGAAGCTCTTCGAAGACCAAAGTTTTATAATGAAAATCCTAGTTACCTCCCTTTTAATATGTGTTGCTTTTATCTTTTGATCATCCGAAACCGAAAGCAGTACTCCAGCGGAAAAATGATCTCGCTCAACCGACTCTTTATTATTTTTATGAAGAAATCAAACGGCAGTTTGAATGGTTTAGGAGTTGCCCCACTTGAACGTACAACAAACGTTGCTATGGTGCGTTTTCACTTGAATGTGTAATTTCATTCATTCAAAGTCTATTTCACGCTCGCAGAAAAAGTTACAAAATATATTTTGAGCATTAAAATATTATAGTACTCTAGGTGAGAAATTTTACATATAATTTTATAAAAGAATGATACATATACAATACAGTGCGCAGTAATTCAGTTGAAAATACGGTAAATCACATCAACCAATACCTAGATCCATCGGTTAGTTTTTTGTATCGACTACTGTTTTTATTTATTTATTTAAGATATTACGTGTATAATATGATATTACAATGTTTAAATTTGGTTTGATTTTATTTTGTTTAGCGTCCGATCAACATCTATTTGATCTCTCAGAGAGGCTGTAATATAGAAGCCTCCTTGTGACATTTTGAAACTGATGCCGACTTTAGATTATTTTACTACGGGAGAAATAATGAGAGGACATGATCCCAAATTTAGTCGCAGCTTACGACCATGTAACAGTGACAGCAGTTATAATTTTTACACCCTACCTGCAGAGCAAAATATTACACGGATTGTTCTGTTGCAACGAACACAGTAGTTGTAGCAAGTAAAATGGAATGCAAGTATTACTGTTTATGAGAGTTAGTTACATGTATAAACCTAAATATCGTCTTGACTTTGTAGTACAAAGCTGATGCCATATCAGACTGACTAGTTTTATTGGAAATGTTACACAACCGAATGTCATTGCTGTGATTATATCTTCTATGAATGGAAACAACATGATAAACCTGGCATAGAGAGTCCTTTTCAAGACAAACATACTGTAAATCACTTGTATTTCGCGAAGTTTTTATTTTCGCGGTAATGTGCGATTTATAGTCCCTCAACAATTTTTTGTGCAATGATAACCATCCATGTTTCTTCGGTTAAGAAGTAAGTACGCGATATTTTCGCGACACCTAGGTGATTTTCGTCAACGATTACTGGGACATCGTGTTATTTATACCGTTTTTTATTAAAGGTATTTCAACAGTGATACCTTGAGAGACACTTTATAATGTTGATACATTTTAGCTTGTTCATCTTTCCTTCTGTATTTTGTTTTGCACTCTTGGCTTCTCCGCCCGTCCTCACATGAAACTGACTACTGAGACTACAAAACCAAGTGATTATAGAAGTGTACGGATTTTGAAGCCAAAGTGACGGAATGGCGTATGTTATGGTCATAGTCCAATTATATATATGTTGTATACTTAACTTGTAAAGTACTGCCCTTTCGTGTATGATCAGTTCCGCCACACGATATATTTGCTCAGATTATATTTAAATTGTAAAGTGAGATTTTAAATGTTTCATTTGGTTTCAAATTTTCACTTGAATCGTAAATATTCATAGGATGATCAGATTGGTGATCTAGCAACACACGCACCTGAAAACTAGAGAACCAGAACTTGCATAATAGCAGCTAATCTACATAACATCAGAAGTGACAAAGAAGGCAACTTGTGGTAGAATGATCACTTCCCTAAAGGAACAAAAACAACTAATTATCATTTGATCCGGTAAATCATTACTTGTTCAACATTCACATTCACTGCACATTGTTTATAAGTATAGAGGTTGTTTGTGTGATATTGTTCTTATTATATACCTTCATGACAGGTCAACAAACACCAGAAATATCTTTAGAACAGACATGCTGTTTTTATTAGTAACACGAGGGTCTTCAGTTCTATCGGGCCATCACTCACGCAAAGCCCCACTCCAACAAACCCTATGGGCGTGGTCTGATTTCCCTGGTGTCCTCCCAGAGGCCTGGTCCCCTCTTGTCAAACAACACAAATCATCCTATTGACCAATCAAACAAGGGGTATTCTTGTATGTTACCATAAGTTGGTTGTGACGTCACAGAGTCGCCGTAAGAAGACGTCCTGTGTTACCATGTTAAGATGCTCTCACGATCTTTGTAAGTTATCCTCGGCCCTACTGCCTGGCGGAATTCCGAGAGTATATGAGAGCGCGCTCCTCGCTACGTTGTCAGTTGACGTCTAGAAACCAGCGTGTGTGGAACATAATCGTTTGGACTTGTCACTATCTTTCTTTAATCAAGGTAAGTTTACAACCTCCGTTCATCAGGTCGAGGACTTTTAAACAAATGCGATGGAATTCCAACGTTCCTAGACATTGTGTTGGATATCTCGACTTCTTATATGTTGCTGTCTTTGTTTGCATGCCTTGTTGTCGTCGTGTGTTGTGCAATACTGGCTACCTGAATCTAGGATCGACACCCAATGGAAATGATTCGGCTGTCGGAATTAAATTCGCTCGATTCTGGGATATATATCTGCTGATTTTCAGCAATAGGTTCTAGTATAAATAGGATATTTTTGATCGATTCACTTGACAATGTTAGGACAGTCGTTCATCAGATATCGTGTTTAAGCCAAATTCATACCGTTTAACATATAAGAAACCATCACTGTGAAAATGTCTCGTCATGTCTCCTGTCGTACATTGTAGAGTGCCGTCGAGGCTTCTGTTTCGTAGGCTAGATTTCGCAATACGTTGATTCAATGTTTTAGGTACTTGTACTATCAAGATTGATGCCTACCAATACTTCGTGCAATTGACGTTAAAAAAAAAAAGATAATTACGGTGTAATAACATAGAGAAACATAGAGATCGCTACAGGACCAGGATATGGCGATTTTCTACATTAGCTATTTTGATTAAGATCCTATCTTATGCATACGTTCCGGGTTATATTTTTACTTTTTGTCCAGTTAATTAATAAAACAGCCTAACCAGAATAGTACATAGCATCATCAAGATACAAAAATGTACGAAACAAATCAGGAATGGTGTCAACTGGTGCATAGCGTGATGCACGCGCTCACGTGCTAAGTATCAGCTCTATATCTATGACAAATTGTTTGCAGCTATTTGGGTCATTAGCATGGACAACAGTAAACAATCACCTTAATGGTATATCATGGTATTGATTACGTACGTCATGTTTTAGTCAGAGTTGTCTCCCTTCTAATACTTTAACTAAGATGTAGAGGTGGTAATGGGGTTACAAAATTATGTTTATGAGCATGTTTCTGTCAGTTCCCTCTGGATAGTTGGCAATGTATTAGATATCTGTCATACCGCGGGTCGACAAATTATAAGAGATTTGTCCCTGGTAGAACTTACCTCGCGTGGTTCGTGTATTAATGATTCGTCCCTGGTGAATCTTCTGTGGGCAGATAATATGTAATAGAGATTTTTCCCTCTTTGTTCTTACTTAGTGTCGACAAAGTATAAGAGTTAAGCCTCGGTTGATTCTTGTCAAGTGTGGACAAAGTATTGGATATTTGTCCCTGGTAGATTTTACAAACTGGGGGAAAATTATAACAGATTTGCCCGAAGGGATTTCTGATTTTACTCTGGTCAAACTTTAGTGTGAGAAAAGCATTATATATTTTTCTCTGCTGGTTCTTACCTAATGTCGGCAAAGTGTTAGAGAGTTGGTACTGCTACACCTTACTGAGTGTCGGCAAAGTGTTAGAGAGTTGGTCCTGCTACACCTTACTGAGTGTCGGCAAAGTGTTAGAGAGTTGGTCCTGCTACACCTTACTGAGTGTCGGAGTCCTGCTACACCTTACTGAGTGTCGGCAAAGTGGTCCTGCTACACCTTACTGAGTGTCGGCAAAGTGTTAGAGAGTTGTCCCTGCTACACCTTACTGAGTGTCGGCAAAGTGTTAGAGAGTTGGTCCTGCTTAACCTTACTGAGTGTCGGCAAAGTGTTAGAGAGTTGTCCCTGCTACACCTTACTGAGTGTCGGCAAAGTGTTAGAGAGTTGGTCCTGCTACACCTTACTGAGTGTCGGCAAAGTGTTAGAGAGTTGGTCCTGCTACACCTTACTGAGTGTCGGCAAAGTGTTAGAGAGTTGGTCCTGCTACACCTTACTGAGTGTCGGCAAAGTGTTAGAGAGTTGGTCCTGCTACACCTTACTGAGTGTCGGCAAAGTGTTAGAGAGTTGGTCCTGCTACACCTTACTGAGTGTCGGCAAAGTGTTAGAGAGTTGGTCCTGCTACACCTTACTGAGTGTGAGTGTCGGCAAAGTGTTAGAGAGTTGGTCCTGCTACACCTTACTGAGTGTCGGCAAAGTGTTAGAGAGTTGGTCCTGCTACACCTTACTGAGTGTCGGCAAAGTGTTAGAGAGTTGGTCCTGCTACACCTTACTGAGTGTCGGCAAAGTGTTAGAGAGTTGGTCCTGCTACACCTTACTGAGTGTCGGCAAAGTGTTAGAGAGTTGTCCCTGCTACACCTTCGGCAAAGTGTTAGAGAGTTGTCCTGCTAAAGTGTCGGCAAAGTGTTAGAGAGGTCCTGCTACACCTTTACTGAGTGTCGGCAAAGTGTTAGAGAGTTGGTCCTGCTACACCTTAATGAGTGTCGGCAAAGTGTTAGAGAGCTACACCTTACTGAGTGTCGGCAAAGTGTTAGAGAGTTGGTCCTGCTACACCTTACTAGAGTGTCGGCAAAGTGTTAGAGTTGTCCTGCTACACCTTACTGAGTGTCGGCAAAGTGTTAGAGACCTTACACCTTACTGAGTGTCGGCAAAGTGTTAGAGCAAAGTGTTAGAGAGTTGGTACACCCTGCTAGAGTTGGTCCTGCACCTTACTGAGTGTCGGCAGAGAGTGTTAGAGTTGTCCCTTACTGAGTGTCGGCAAAGTGTTAGAGAGTTGGTCCTGCTACACCTTACTGAGTGTCTGCAAAGTGTTAACGTTGTCCCTGCTACACCTTACTGAGTGTCGGCAGTATTAACGTTGTCCCTGCTTAACCTTACTGAGTGTCGGCAAAGTGTTAGTGTCGGCAAAGTGTTAGAGAGTTGTCCCTGCTACACCTTACTGAGTGTCGGCAAAGTGTTAGAGAGTTGGTCCTGCTACACCTTACTGAGTGTCGGCAAAGTGTTAGAGAGTTGGTCCTGCTACACCTTACTGAGTGTCGACAAAGTGTTAACGTTGTCCCTGCTTAACCTTACTGAGTGTCGGCAGTATTAACGTTGTTCCTGCTTAACCTTACTGAGTGTCGGCAAAGTGTTAACGTTGTCCCTGCTACACCTTACTGAGTGTCGGCAAAGTGTTAACGTTGTCCCTGCTTAACCTTACTGAGTGTCGGCAAAGTGTTAAAGTTGTCCCTGCTACACCTTACTGAGTGTCGACAAAGTGTTAACGTTGTCCCTGCTACACCTTACTGAGTGTCGGCAAAGTGTTAACGTTGTCCCTGCTACACCTTACTGAGTGTCGGCAAAATATTAATGTTGTCCCTGCTACACCTTAATGAGTGTCGACAAAGTATCAACGTTGTCCCGGGTGGTCTTACTAAGTTATATCTCATCAAAAACGGTAAGTAAGACATATATGTTATAGTAAGTATAGCCAGTGTAACAGATTTAATATGCGGTCGTGGGAGACAAGTTAAACATTTTACAGAAATCTAACACCATGTATCAATTTACGAATCACAATGGTTTCCATGAAATGATAGAAATGGACACCGGCCGTCTGCTCATTTGATTATCATACATAATTACTCTCTCTACTTACAGTTAAGGAGGGATAATCGACGGAGTTAGTTACGTCATCTAATTAATCATATAGCCGACTTATACATTGTACAGTATCACATTACTTCGGTTAACAAACACCACAGTTCTGATCTCATTGAAGGGCAATACACATTCAGGTTTTCTGTTACTGTGTTAGGGATAAATGAGGTTCGCTCACCACTCGTCATCTAGATAGACAGTATGTATATAGAAACTGGTGTAGTAGACCTATTACTGTGATAGCAATGCCTCATACAGGTATATCTACACCAACACAAGTCAACAAAACCATTTTATTGACAAGAAAAAAACCCACATGTTTTTAAGAGTCTGGAAATGAAACCGCTGGAAATGTCACTCTCGAATCCTGAAAATATCATTAGTTCAAAGTTGTGATGTTAAGTCATTCTATGTAATAATGGCCGCCTCCATACCCTCATGCCCCCACACCCTTGGATCCCACGCGCCGCCTTCTCCCTCACATACAGAGCAAGTCCCTCTGTGCCAATGTGACAACACATGTGTCAGGTAGTAACTTTATTTATAGAATTTTCCTCCCAGCTATACTGACGACCATTTAACAAGAGGAAATGAATGGTGATACTGCTGCTCTGTTGGTTAATTAGAAACATAATCTTACTCAACCACTTCTTGTCGACAAGGAACAGTCTATCTCTTTAAACTGTCTCAAGCTAACCAACCTCATATCCTTAAAACTTAGTCATTGCTGTGTTCGCATAGTTTTATGAAATATCAGTTTCAGGTATATAATATCAAAATTCTGGCTGCTTATGACGAATTCAATTATTTTATCTAAACCTGATTACCCAGATTCTCTATTTTTGGCCCAGTGGGACTTCATGTATATTGTAACTTCAATTTGATAAAATAATCCTGATGTTCAAAACACAATTACTCTAAAATATTAGACACATGGAATAATGATTAATGAAGATGAAAAACATATTGTTTTATTATATCTGTATTTTACTTTCCACTGTGAAAAGTCATGCTGTTTAACCACTTATTGAACTAATGAGAAAAATGAAACTATTCCTTTATGAGATGCATCATAATGAATATTACAATGGTCGTTGTTCCTTCCCACTTACACTTAACAAATGTGGAGTTCATTTTCCTAGCGTGATGCATCAAGTCCACTCCTCCGCAAGATCAGAGACAAGAGGAGATAACGATTACCCTTGTTAAGTTGAGCGTTTGATTAGCTTTTTAAGTATTCCCTAAAGCATTTAATTCTTAAACGTTTTTAATTACTCGTTATCGTGGAAATCTAGGGCATGCTTGTCACGGTATCTCCTAGGTGTGGTAGTCAAGGTGCTGTCGCCAAGGTAACCGTAAAATCTTATTCGTAATAATCTAATAATCACGAAATTTCATTACTCCGATGGCAGTTGACAGCTTGTGTGACTCACCAGTTCTCGGCTTTCAATTAAGTTTAATCTTATATCAAATTGACCCGGCAAGCTTTGTTACATATATAACCTTCTAAATGT